TGTCATTTTTAGTCTTCCATAGCATTAAAGATCATCCTCAACAATTTTTAGTTTTTATCCTCTTTTCATCCCATAGCTAGATATAGAAAATCAAATAAAAAATAGGAAAAAATTCTTGTAAATAGTTCTAATAAAAGGCAAAATTTCCATTTTTAAACTCAATTAACAATCCTAAATTCAATAAACTTGTTAGTGATAAATCGTACCATTAAAGACAACAAACAATATAATACTTTTAATTTTTCAAAAATGCTACAGTAAGTTATCACTAAATAACCCCCATGTGGCTAGATAGCTTAGAGAATTATGCTTTGGATCCTTGTGTTTCGTTTGAACTGATGATTCAATCACCTCACATACATACCTCAAGGAAGTTTTTGGGCAAAATTTTCTAAAAAATCAAACTGGAGAGCATGTTCAGAGCAATCTTTTCTCTTGAAAGATTTAGCTGTACTATTACCATATTTAATTTTATTTGAAAGCGAGACATTCTCAAAAAATTCCATTAAAATTCTTTTCAAAAGTCCATATGATCTGTAAGAAAGTGTGGGTGCAGTACCTGAGAATTCCATACAAAATTATTTTACTGCAAACTTTTAGCATCTTTAATAAAGGTGAACAGACTAATGCAGCTAGAAAGTTAGAACTGGGGTACAGGCCAGAGGCTCAGGGGCAGCGAGAGGCTTCACCAGAGACAGAGTGGGGAACAAAACAGGCAGATCGACGAAGTTCACTGCTGAGGGGAGCAGCGGGTGGGTCAGGAGAGGTCTGCCACGCCATGTGGTCACCTCCGGGGCAGGCGGGAATCGAACTCTTGCGGAAGTGGCTTTAGATTCTCAGTGCTGTGCTTTAACCCGCTGCGCCACCAGGGAGGGCCGTTTGTTTGTTTGTTTGTTTGTTTTTTAATTAAGGTACTATAGCAGACAGCACAATGCCTCCAAGATACCTATATTCTAAAATTCATATGGCAATACCTTTATTCATGAGTCATATTAGGAATTAAGTTTAGAGATGAATTTAATGTTGCTAATCACTTGACCTTAATAGAAAGAGGTTTCAGCCTGTATTATCCAGGTGCACCCAATATACTCATAATGGTTCTAGATTATAAAAAGGAGTTGAAAGGAGGTCAGAGTTGAGATTTGTTGATGGAGAAAGGTGTCACCAGTGGAGAATGTCTCTAGAAGTTAATTAAAGTAGGCCAGGAAACAGACTTTGCCCAGAAGCCTCCAAAAGAAAAAACTGGTCTTACGAACATGTAGATTTTAGCCCAGTGAGATTTCTCACCCACTGGACTGTTACCAATGGGTTGTTATTTTTATAGCTACACTAGAAAACTAATACAGAAACATTCATACAAGACTATGTAAACATTAAAAATAATGTGAGAATATAAAATGATGTGGAAAATATTCAAGGTATATTGTTAGGTTTAAAAAGTAGGTAAGGAAGTACCACATTTAGTAAATTGAAACAAAGTTGTATTTGTTTAGATAAAATCTGAAATATATACTATAAATTGTTCTTGGTTTTCTCAAGGACACCGGGATCACTTCCCTTTTCTACAGTTTTCCAGGTTCTTTTGCAGTAAGAAAAAAGATGAACATGATTAGCTTCAAAACTAGAAATAGATACCTTTTATCTCCTTTCAAAACCTTTTTTTTGAAGGGGGTGAAGTAATATAGAAAGGGTCAGCTTGTTTTACCACTCAATCTTTTTTTAAAGATTGATTGATTTATGCATATAGAACTGGGATACAGGCCAAGGTGTAGGGGCAGTTAGAGGATTCACCAGAGACAGAGTGAGGAGCAGAACAGGCCGATTGAGGAAGTACACTGCTGAGGGGAGCAGCAGGCGGGTCAGGAGAGTCTGCTGGTCAGGAGAGTCTGCTGGTCAGGAGAGTCTGCTGGTCAGGAGAGTCTGCTGGTCAGGAGAGTCTGCTGGGCCATGTGGGTCACCTCCAGGGCAGGGATCTAACTCACACTGAAGCAGCTGCAACTTGCTTGCAGTGCTGTGCTTTAACCCTTTGTGCCACCAGGGAGGGGCACTCAATCCTTTACTGAATTTCCACATCCCAAACAGACTTTAAAAAATTAAACCGTGAAATGAAGAATAATGTAAAAAATCAAATTTAAAAAATAAAAATAGTGTAATGTCTACCTGTTTAATTTTTGGATTTTTTAAATGAACTAATGAACCATGTAAAATTATAAAGATTAACCTTTGAGAGGTAATTACATTAGTGGTGTAAGGATTGCTTATAATTACGGAATAGAACTTATGAACTTATGGATTTTATCTAAATCAATTTAACTTTTAAGGGTTCTGTTGAATAGTTCCCTTTATTTTTCCTTACAGAATTCACTACTGACACTTACCTGGCTAATTTCTGCTCTTCTTTCTCAGTGTGTTTGCTACACATGAGTGGTGAGTTATGTTATTGTTTTTTATATTTGCAGAGATTTATAGGAAATTAAACTTATTTAAATCAGATTAAACCATAGTTTATCAAATTCATTAGTTTGCTATCAAGTGCATGTTTAATAAACTTATCTACATAAAGAAACTGCTAATATATGGGTCATCCTCGGTGGCACAGTGGGTCAGGACGCAGCACTGAAAGCTAGCCACAGCCGCCTCAGTACGAGTTCGATCCCCAGCCTTAGAGGTGAGCCGCATGGTGCGGCAGACCTCTCCTGACCTGCCCGCTGCTCCCCTCAGCCATGTACTTTGTCAATCTGCCTGTTCTGCTCCCTACTCTGTCTCTGGTTAAGGCTCTCACTGTCCCTGAACCTCTGGCTTATACCCCAGTTCTGTATAAATAAATAAATCTTGAAAAAAAAAAACTACTAATATAAAGGCCTATTTTTAAGTCACAGTGCAGAATGTGATGTTTTAGTGCGTGGAGGCAGCACAGTAGCCACAGGAAGAATGACTCTGACGTGAGGAGTACTTGGGTTTAAACCAAAGCTTTCTCTATCTTTGTCCTTTGGTGACTTCCTCCTTTTTTGATCCTCCTTTTTTGATCCTCCTTTGTAAGATGGAGATTGATTATTCTGATCTTTTAGGGTTATTGTGTGAAATACTAAAAAAATGCCATTCGATCTGTAATTAACCATTAACTGGGGCTATCATTTTACTGCAGTGTCTTTTTCCTGGGTGCCAAAATCAAACCACATGTATTTGTAGCTTCTGTGGTTACTTCAAGACATATTTTCCTTATTAACTGTGATAAAGTAATATACATGTGACAAGAAATTGCTAATGTCTGGAGAGCTGACAGAAGTGTTGGAAACTTCCATTTGAGCTGTTTGATAGTTTTCTATTCTCTCATTTGAATTAAAAGATGCACTTACACCCAGTTTCCTCAAAATGCTTTATACAGGGGATGTTGATCTCTTTAGTGTGCTGGGACAGAGTGGAAAAAAAGATTAGACTGCTTTCAGGGATAAGTCAAAGTGGTACCTCTGTTTGGCTTCTGAGCTTGGCTAGGAAAATAATAGGACTCCTGCTATTATTTTGGGTGACTTTACAAAAAAAACAGAAGCCATTGGAAAAATTATCCCTGGGAGATATGTATGGGTGTTCATAATTGAAGATAAAAATAAGATCATGCGGTCAGACATTCCCTCTGCTCTCCATTTGCTTCATTATCACTATTTGGCTTTTTATATGTATGATGAACCCAAGCTTATGACTTTGAGATAGTTACCATGTAAAACTTCCAAATACACGTATCACATAGGCATAAGAAAGTATAAATCAGAGACACTTAAAACAGGTATGTTTCCTCTAAGGCATTAAAGGTAGCTAAAAGCCATGTAACTCATGTAAGAATGAAAATGGAAGAAAATTAGTTCTTAAATCAGTTAAATATTGTTTGCTTGTTTGTTTTCTTTACCCCCTCTTGGAATAGTCTCTTGCAGACTGAAAGTCGAGAATCTGGGTAACCTTGAGATACTCTTAAGATGTAAATTTGTATTGTTAATTTTATACTAAATGTAGGTACAAAAGAACATTGTGTTTGGAAAACAAAAAAAAAAACTGCTACAAGTACTATAGCATTTAGAGAGTTTGTAAGATTCACCATCATTGTTTTAACACAGAAATATGTTTATTAAACCAAACGAAACAGATAAAATTATACCAGCCCTCAATTTTTGAATTTTCATTTAAATAAGCAAACTCTAAGTCCACACTGTAAAAGATGTTTGTGCATCTATGTATCTCCAAAATACTCATATTTCAATAAGATTTTCACATTATATTCACCAACAGTATCACAAAATTTCATTTTTTTTTTGTTTACGTAACTGTAAGGAACAGTAATTCTAGAAACACTAGAAGATAAAAGCATAGCAATGTCCACAGTTACAAGAAAAAGTGCACATTACTTGGTCACAATCACAGTCATTACTTGAAAAACTATATGTAACAAGTAGATAAGAAATATCACTGGTGCCTTAAAACGCATTATCAAAAACTGAATGACATAAATTTCACATGAAATAAGGCAAATTCAGGAATGCACAAAGAATATATAATCCAACCAAAGCTAAACAACCAAAAATTGTACAAGAAGCATAAACTGATGTATTTCTTTCTAAATATTTAAAAAATAGGCTTATCTCAGTGCACAAAGAAAACACCATGTGTATCCAACACTATAAAAGAAGGGCAAAATATGGGGAATAAGAAGGGGCAGTTCATTGTAAGTTGCAGCTGCATCCACTGAGAGTTCTTTACATCATTTTTTTTTCCCTTAAAACTGTAAATTATACAAATCATATTAGGAGAGGTAATGGTCTTTTTGGAAACTATTTCTGAAAAAAAAATGAAAAATAAAACTACACATAAGTGCAAATTTTCAGATTGTCACTTGCAACCTCTTCACATTCAGTCATCTATATCCAGTTGCTGTTAGAGGGACGCTTATAACAGCAGCGGCAATCCAGAGTGAGCAGATGTAAGAAACATAGGTGTGATTTTTTTTTTTTTTTATCAGAAAAAAATTGTATGATGAACACAGCTATGGGAAAGCTGCAGTGTTGAGTGGGATGCTTGAGATCAACATGAGTCTGAAATGCAGGCTTCTGTTGGAAGTAGTTTCCTGGTGTGACGATTTAAAGAACGTAGGCAAGGGGTTTTCCAGCATCAAGTGTTTTTTTTTTTTTTTTTTTTGCCAGTTACTGGAGCTTTCAGTCCCATGAGTCAGTAGCAATTCCACTAATATTTCAGTTGGATCTTGAATTATTTTTATACCACAAAGCTTCTTCCATTTTATCCTTGAATTAGGGATTTACAGCCTTTTTTTTTATCCCCCCAGATATTTATGCTGACACACAAAAACAAAAAGCAGGAGGCTGGACACATTAAAGTATCTCAAGTACTTCAGAGGGCAGAGTTCCTTTGAAGCACCTTAACACATCACTTTTATGGATCAAGGACAATGTGGCATTATGCAAGTATTTTTCTTAAAAGACTGCAGTAAGATCAGAAGCATCTCTGCTGCAAAATCAAAATGTCATTAGTGGAAACTGCAAATTTAGCTCTCACTGAGTATGGGCGCCATTTGATTCAGTTCTGTTGTAAAATAAGATTTTCCAGTTCATCTGCAGAACGCAATAAAAATGCAGCTGATTCTCGATATCCTGCAACAAGCTGTCTCACAGCATTGATTTCAGTTGGACTCAGCTGGGGTCTGGAGCTTGAACTGCTGGAGGATCCTGAGCTAGTTGCCAGTTGCCTCTTCATGCTGAGATCAGTAGGTCCTAGCAAACAAAATCACCAAATTAGACACACAATTTTTGTTCTAGTACCTCAAACTTGAATATTAAATAAACCATGGTTGAATTAACGCACAACTTTTGTTCATGAGAAGTTGCTGTTTTTCATCAAATACATCTGCTCTTAAATAAAGAGCAACATGACGTGTGGCTGGGTGTTCTCTGGTGCTCCTTGTGCAGCATCAGGCAGCAACCTCTCACCCTGGACACCCAGTGCTGGCCTTCTCTGCACTTGTGCTTTTTGAAAATTTAGTTCAACTTTTCACATGTTAGAGAGGCTTCTCTGTAGTATGAACTGATGGGAATTGCAAATGATTTTGCTATGTCTGATAACCAAATTCTATATTGTGACATTGACTCTTGATTAGGTTCATCTTAAAAAAATTGAGCACCTGGAGTTCAGTGATGTGTTCACGACTCAACACAATAAAGATTTAGGGTTTTTTTTTTTTTAATTTTAGGTAAATACTCCCTTCCCCACCTCTACTTTATTTTTTTTAAAACTATAGACCTGCTATGTTTCAGTTTGTCTTAGTTTAACTTTTTTTTTTCTTTTAAAGATTTACTTATTTGTGCATACAGAACTGGGGTGCAAGCCAGAGGCTCAGGGGCGGTAAGAGGCTTCACCAGAGACAGAGTGGGGAACAGAGCAGGCACATTGACTAAGTACACTGCTGAGGGGAGCAGCAGGAGGGTCAGGAGAGGTCTGCCACGCCATGTGGTCACTTACTGGGCAGGCGGGAATCAAACTCATGCAGAAGTGGCTTTAGATTCTCAGTGCTGTGCTTTAACCTACTGTGCCACCAGGGAGGGCCTTAGTTTGTTTTAGAAGTATACATGACTGGTATGAACAAACCCACAAGGGAATAAGATTAGGAATACCACTTTAGGAATTATTGAAGTCATTTTTATATTTGCACACATATCTGTGTCAATATTTTTTCTCATGTAAATAAATTTAACAATTTCTGAATACTTAGACTTAAAATTACCAATTACTTTAACTCAGATAATTTGTAATGCTGCTTTGTATCAATTCTAAGGTGAATAAGGAGGTTTTTATTATATACCTGTTTATTTTTACACTGCTACCTTTCATTAAGCAATTGCTATAATTACTAAATTTGCACCAATAAATTTGAAATCCTTGAATGAAGTACTAAGCACATAACTCAAGGCATTTCCCAAAACCGTATGATTTGAAAATATTTTAAGATTTCTTCTAAAGTTACAATAAATTTTAAGGTATAAGTATTCATTTAATGAACTAAAACAAGGAGTGTTATTTTAACTTTCTAGTCCTTGTGAGCCATGATAGAGACAGAGGTCAAGACCCAGCATCTATCCCAAAGAGAAAAGATTTATGTCAACTGGAAGGTAAGTTCCATGAGAGGGAAATAGTTTCATTTGGAATTTAATTAGGATAGAGGCAAGAGAAGCACACAAGATTACATTTCTGCCATAGTCTTTCATATCTTTGGTTTTTCCTACCAGGAGTTAGCTTTCGTTTGTTCTACTGTTTAAAAGAAAAATCAAGATTTTGACATAAGAAAAACAGGATACAGGAATTGCTTGCCAAGTCTTCCAGCAAATCATTAACACCAGGTAAAGTTTATTTGAAAAATATGGGAAGTAAGAGGGGTGTGCTTGCTGGATCAGCCCACATTTTTTTTTGTATTTACATTCAAGAGTTCGTACAAATCTTTATGAAAGAAAATTCAATTATCTGCTGACAGTGTAAATACCTAATGCCAGTTTGGCTATCATTTTATTAAAAGGCATATTTTATAATTATTTGGTTCTTATTTAGTTGATTGAAATCTTTAACTGAAATTGCTAAAGGGAGGCCATGGCTACAGTTCTTTTTCAAATGAGAGATTATTATAATTCTGTAATACTTTATTACATGTACTACAAGATAAAGGATATGAGTTTTCTAATGAAGACATGGTTTTACTTCATTAAAAAATTGAATAAGTGCCATGTTAACTTCAGGTGAGGAATAAAAGTTTGATCACGTCCAGTTGTTTATTTAAAGTAGCACCAAAGAACAGTTATAGACCACAACCTATAAACTACCTTTCTGTGACTTAAATATAATTGACAAAATAACTGGAAATTTGTAACTTTTGCTCCCTATTCCCCCAAGCTCTTTCCCATCCTCCAGTTTTTCATATCGGTATAAGAATCATAGAGATACAGAAAATCCAGATGCTTTAAGTACCTTATGTTGTAGTATTTGCATATAACCTGTGCTCAGCTTTCCATACACTTTAAAGCCCTCAATTACTTAAAACATGTAATAAAATGTAAATACTATGCAAATCCTTGTTACACTGCATCAGGGAATAGTGACAAGATGATCAGGTCATAGAGCTAACTACATAATATATATTTTCATTCAATCCAGGGTTTGTTGAATCCACAAATGTGAAAAAATTAAAACTACTCAGGGCTCTCCCTGTTGGCACAGTAAGTTTAATAGCAACAATATGAAGCTAGCCACTGCAGCATGAGTTGGATTCCTGACTAGGGAGGTGACCTACATGGCAAGGCAGACCTCAATTGTCTCGCCAACTGCTCCCCACACCTCTGGCCAGTACCCCAATTCCTGTATGCATAAACCTACTCTGTGACAGTGCACATGTGCACCTAAGAACTCTGATGAGGACAAGAAAGTGACTTGTTTTTTACATGGTCAAAATATATCCATTCTGCAGCCTGTAGATCAATGAGTTATTTAGATATTTGAATCCTATTGAGATATATAATATATACTATATAGTATATGCACTATATATAATATAGCATAGTATATATACTATATATAATGTACATACTATATAGTATAGCATATATACTATATATAATATAGTATACATACTATATAGTATATGCACTATATAATATAGCATATATACTATATAGTATATATACTATATAGTATATATAGCATAGTATATATACATACTATA